CAGTTACGATGCGTTTTGGGATCGGAAATGGGGCGACGATGACTTAACCGCCGTTGATCTGCGATGGCTGGCGCTTTTATTCATGATGCTGGCGTTTGCCGAGTTGCTAGACTGCCCGCTGGATACCACTGTAGACGGCCAGAGGGCTTGTGAAGAAACTTCGGTGCAGTTCTTCTGGGCATCGCGCAAAGCCATTGTGCTGGCACCGACCATCTCCGGAGAGAGCCCTGACCTAGTCCGAGCAGGGATTCTCGTGAGCCGCTATCTTATATTCTTCGGGCGGAAGACCGAGAGTTGGCTCACATCAAGTTTTGCCATCCGGATGGCCCAGGCGCAAGGAATGCATCTTGACGGTGAGAGTTGGCGTCTGCCGCCTAAAGTTTTGGAGACGAGAAGGCGGTTGTGGTGCATCTTGTTCTCGTTGGATCGGTCACTCTCATTGACAACCGGGCGCCCATACACAATCAACAGCAAGCACTGTATGCTCATGAAAATACGGAATATCTGGATCGATGACATGTCCAACGAGGAAGCCGCCGAGGCCATCGAAAAACCTCTGAGCGACCCGACAAGGACTATATACTACTCGTATCAACAGCGCATGTCCACAATTCTAGGCGACATTCATGACGACTGTTTCAGCCTCGAGCCCACGACAACATCATATAGCACTTACGAGAAGGTCCTCCAGTTGGATCGCGTCCTCCTAGATTGGGCTGACTCCCTGCCCCCTTACTTTCGCATTGAGGAAACTGACACCTCTCTTGACGCTACACATCCGTTTCTCTTGTGGCAGCGAATGTATCTTCACTCCTTATATCACTTCGCTCGAGTAACCCTTCACCGCAGCTATGTCCTTCTCGAATCTATCACGGGCCGCTTCCAGTATTCCCGTGACGCCTGTATCTCATCTGCCTGCGCCGACCTGCGCCTCAAGCTCACATTCCGCCCAACCTCAATGGCGGATCGTCTCAAAGCCGGAGGAGCAATGCACAACCTCTTCAATAGCGCTTTAGTTCTAGGCGTCATCGCTGTACGAGATCCTCACTCCCTTAGAACGCGCGGTATCTTGGAGGATTTGGCTGCCTACTGCGAGAAGCAACGGGCAGACATATGGGTAAAACAGTTTGCACTAGCTGAGGTGAAAGTCATAGAGCTTTGTATCGCGACCGCGAGGAAGACGAGCCGAGAAGGTCAGTCTCATAATCTATATCACCAACAGGTGGAGCCAGTGAGGAGATCAAGCGAAGAGTTTCCAGCCTTTCAGCGTACGGGTCCATTCCCTCAGTCATCAACTCTCATGGGGCCTAGTTCCGGGGAAATGGGAGGCACACATCAAGGTATGGCGAGTGCGAGAACCCACATGGGGGTTCCTACAGCTGCTCAGAACAGCCTTCCTGGTATCGAGCATACAGGGAACGGGATTGATCAAGGAGAGACTTGGCTAGATAGCTGGTTCGGGCCCACGCGCAACTTCCCGGAGCCCCTGGACTTTCAATTCTGGGAGGATCTAGTTGGCACACTCGACTCACGGTAGATGAGTAGGCAAATCATAATGCAATAATAAGGGGACCAGAATTCCGTTACTGCAAAAAGAAAAGTGTGTAACGCTTCTTGAGTCTTACAGTCGCTCTCCCAAGTAACTGAATTGATGATATTTCAACTAGGAAGACCACGTTCAGGTACTTTCCATCTTTGAAATGCAGAGCTGTGCCAAGCTGCAGATTCTTTCTGTTGCAACAATGTTGCTATTGAGGGAGATTTTAATCCTATCCTTGAATCTCATCGCAGACAAGCGTGATAGTAAATGTGTTGTTAGCCATGTGGCAAAGCTAACCCGATTTTTATAAAACATACTGCGAAGCTGGTAGCTAAGAATCCTGGTCAAGGAGGTGGCGGTTTTATCACGCTATACAGAATACCCAATAACACGGTTGTGTATTATACAACCCGCCATGGATTACGAATTGATTGATACCATTTCATCTAGAGCCGAGCTTTCTTAGGGATTCTCTAAATTAGACATTGTGTAGCCACTATCTCGGAAGGTGGAAGACATTTTGGGATGGTCACATTCTGTCCCAGGCTTATCAGCGACCAACTTGAACGACGTGAGCGTTGACCACCGTCAGCCCCCTTTCTTAATTACCTACTCATGGAGTTGTTTTAGGACGGGCTACCACAGTGGTAGCAATAGTCTTTTTTAAGGGCATCATGCCCACTGCAGCCGGTTTCAGCATCGCGAATCCCACTTTAATCGCCAAGGGTGGTGCATATCATTACGCATCACGACGGCACATCCGTGTGGTGTTTTCCTTCTGGAATGCTTCTTTCAGAAGCTGAGAACTGCCGGGCACAGCGGCTGAATGAAAGGGGGCTTGAACCCCATGGACAGCCAATCAGACGGCCAGAAAGCATTGTCAACTTCTTATTCGGTGCGCTGTTGTGACAACACCTTCTAAATGCGTGTTAGCCTAGGGGTTTGCAAGGATGTCGCCGTGAGGCAAACCATGGCATGCCTCCAGCAAAGGAATCAGAGTAACGCCATGATTGGGGCGTTCGAGCTACCCTTGGAAGCAGTCTCCATTTGGAAGGCAAGCAAGAGGCACGTTCGATAAGGCTGTCTGAAGATGCCTGATTCGCCTCCTCTGTATTAATATACAGTATCGCCCATCCATTTCAATGATGATGGCTGTTTGGCATCCAATTGGAGCACCCAGCGAGGTAGACCAATCTACCACTGCCACTCTTTTGTAAAGAAGGAAGTCAATGATTCAAACTACTGGATAGTTATCTGATCCTCGTTACCACACTCTTTCAATTCATTGCGACATTCCTTAATACACTCCCTTTTGATTATACGATACTCTCCATCAGTCGACACCATGGCCCGCGTTGCAAGTTTGATATGCAGTGTCCTGCTCCTCAGCAGCTCTGCGACCGCGAAACCCCTCCACCATCGTGCTCATGGCAGCCACTCACACAAGCTAGCCCACGAATTGGTATCTCTCAGCGGCGACAGCACTGGCCCTGTCATCCGAAGCGCTACCGATTCTATCGTCCTAAAACCCCTCCGACCGAGCCGCGGCCGCAAGTCAGTACGAGATGGCATGAGCGCCTTCGAGGTTCTCAGCGAAGACTACCTTTACTGGGCTGGGTCCGATGGTACGGTCACTGAGCTCAAGGTAGACATGTCAGGCGCAAAGGAGGGTCTTGTCGATACGGAGTACTGGAGTGACCTGGTCGAATCGATGGAGTGCCCCAACGGTAACAGCAGCACGGGAGTCAATGGGACAGAGCAAGTGACTGTTCGATTCTCGGAGAAGCTGGACTTTGATGACGCTGCGGATATCTGGAAATGGGTCAAGCAGGATGAGGAGCGTCAATTCGTGCTGATGGTTGGCGCTGGAGACTGTGGCTGGAACGAGGACCGCATTCTCTACCAGATCAACGATATTGGCTTCGACGACCCGACAAACACTGCCATGCTCCGTGGCAAATCGATCAGTTGGAAGGATGCCCTTCACACCTTTGAGCTCCACATTGGCAAGTCTGCTGTGCAAAGTGCTCAGGCTCAGAGGAGCACTGTTAGGCGCGGACTCTTTGACTCAATCGGTGATGTCTTCAGCGACATTGGAGATGCCCTCAAAGGGGAGTACAACCCTGACGTTTCAATCCCTTTCGAGCACGATCTCTCCGGGAAGAGCCTTAGTTTCCCCGTGGATGATGGACTCACCATCTCGGGCACGTGTTCTAACTGCTCAACCTCTGGCACGTTTAACATCGAGGGGAGATTCCGTGTCAAGTTCTTCAAACTCAAAGAGGCTGTCATTGAGTTGAACACAGAAGGAATAGATGTCACGACCATTATCCAGCTTGGCTTGAAAGGTGATCTCACTGATGCACTCGTTCAGAAGAGCTTGTCTCTTCTCAAGCTGTCCCCAGGAGGGGTTTCTATTCCTGGAATTCTCACAATTGGTCCTACAGTCGCCATCTCTCTTGATGCCGGGATTTCCGCTATCAAAGGAGCCGTCAAGCTTACTCTGGGTGGTACAGCTTCTATCCCTGCTTCAAAATCCACGCTTGACTTCTTGGCCGAGGACAAGACCACGTCATCAGGATGGGACGTGCAGATGAGCCCATCGCCGTTGGAGGCTGATGCCTCTATTGAGGTAGGAGCTTCTGCAGCCTTGACGGCTTCCGTAGGGCTAGAGTTGACTGCTCTTGGTGAGTGCAAAACAAACGAATAAACCGTGTGATTGGCGGAGACTAATGATTTAACTCGACTTGCAGAGACCGGATTTGCAGCTCAACTGTCAGCTGCTTTACCCAAACTCTCGGCGACACTGCAGGCTATTTCATGTAAGCTCTCCTAGTCCGATATACCCGCCAAGTATGGAAGTTAACATTATCCACACAGCTTTGACGTGCAATGCTTGCAAAAAGTACTCAAATGCCATTTCCGGCTCTGTTGGCCTCAGCACGTCTCTTTCGCTAGACTTGAGAAAGAAGATGGGCAGTTCGTACAAGAACCTTTGGAGTCTGACTCTGGCAGTAAGTCCCGACAAACCCATTCGTTATGAGCATCTCTAACTTTGTTTTTCTTCAGGAGAAAACTTTGGCTACAATTGCCTCATTCTGTGAGCCTGTTGGTCCCCAAACATGTGCAGTCAATGGCACCTACAGCTTGGCTGAGCGATGGGGCCACTCTTCAAAACTCTACCACTGATGTAACTCTCTGAAAACGCTGGATGAGGAGCAAATAAAAAGCGATGTATTTTGCGGGCAATCTTACCACATGACTATAGATCTTGAACTACCTAGCAAAGACTTCACTGGTGGAGGATATAGGGGATATATAGAGCTTGGATTAATATTCGTTAGGATGTTCCTTCGAGGAAAGGTATATTCTAGGATAAAGGATAGTAATGATAAATCCTAGTCGATCTAGGCTATTCCTTGAATCATTTACTTACTATACCCTGTCACTAGATTTGACATTAGCGGACGAGAAGAGCCTCGATATCAAAACGCTGTTTGTTCGTATTGCCCCAGATAGCCTCTTGCCAGAGCTTTTCAGAAAGCCCTGCTCCAGCAGAGTCCTCAGGCCAGCTGACGGCCGATAATGCCTCCTTCGCGTCTTTCCAATCTATAACATGCGCTCTTCGGCTCCAGCTTTGGATGCGCTGGCCGAACCAAAGGCGCAACATCTGAAAGGGGCTGCTGTCGTCTTCTGCTCGACTACCAGCATCTTCGACGGCTAGCTGTGTCTTAGCGATAGTGTATGCTCCCGTGAAGACCTTCCAGAGCCATATCTTATGATCCTCTGCCCCAGCCCTCATTATACCCTCTGTGTTGTCAATATCCCTTGTCAACCGGAGATAGAGCTGACTGTAGACATGGCAGTCGTTTGCGGGCAGATCGGCCACAACATTGTTGACATACATGGAGCCGGCGGGCGCAAGACTTGACCAGAAACTACCGAGTGGCCTTGTCCCCACGTTATAAGTAGCCCGCAATTGCGATTTAGCGGCCTCTAATACGAGTTGCTTGATGTTGGTGAGGTAGTCGGCGGCCAGGCCGGGAGGATCCTCCCCGTAGAGAAACTCGTCCATAAAACAGCAGAGCCGACTGCAGTACCTCTCGCGGGCCAGGGGCGTCAGTACTTTGAGCGGCACAAGATCATAGGAGAGATTGGCCTGATCTTGTCCGTTGTTTGCGTGCCTTGGGCTGCCGGCAAAATAAGGGATCAACCTCAGACCGTCTAGGCGAATACTTGTATCCCCGGGCTTGCCACTGGGGCTAGATCCCATAAGTTGCGTCAATTTCGTAACTCGTTGGTGCAGATAGCCAGTTGCTGTATACACAAATTCATGTGCCCTAGCAGTAGAAAAGTCAATCAACAAAGTTCACCTATTGCCACATATACGTAAAACTCACAATGCAATGTATCGAGCAATGAGATCGTCATGATCAACTTGTCGTAAGCTGAGGCTGCCATCTGACGCTTCTATGAGGTCCAGTACTGCCATCAGGCCATCGAAATGAGCCCTTGCGGCATCTGGGTTGCCGAAGCTGCTCTTCGCACGATGGTGTGAGCAGTAATTTCTGTCACGGACGGGATGTGGCGTAGAAATGCTAAACTTACATCGAAGATGCAAAGAGTGGATATCAACCGCACCGTCACGGCTATGTTCGTTGCTTTGAGGTTTTTGAGGCGGGCGTTTGCCAGGCCAATGCACTCTATCTTGTGGAAGAGATAGGTGGACTGGAACGACGAAATTTCTTTCGCCTTCCACGAGTAGTGCAAGGCCGATATTACAAAGAGAGTCGGAGCTCCAGGGGATCTTGAATTGTTATGCCTTGAATATTCGGCTCTGTACACGAATCATTGGTGCCCCCACAAACGGAGACGTCTACGTATGTTCCCGTGGTCAGCTACCTTAGCCACTGACTGGTCACAGGAATCACACTCACAGTGGTGGAGAAGCTCTCGTGACTTATAAGGCATTTCTATTGGTAGAGAGTTGAAAGGATCTACAGGGCACCCCGAGACTTGCCATGGGATATGCACGCCTGGCAGGGTCGACTTTAGGCGTCTCCTGTCCCAAAGTGGGAGCGCCGGTGCTGGATAGTTACATGCCCGTCCTAGTTTGATGCAGTTCGCGCTTGTTACGGTTGGTGTTAGCTAGAAATACTAATCTCGGTTTAGACACACGGGTGTCTCCTACCCGTATATCTGACCGGGAGGCGGTGGGCGTCATAGGAGAAGGCGCTTACCACACGGGACGCGTTTCGTCGCAGCGGACGTGCCGTTCCTTGCATGTTGAACAGCCGCTGCGGTTACGGTTCACGAATCGATGTTTCCTGGAACGAGATCCTTTGCTCGGCATTTCTTCCACGCGTCATTGATGACAAAGGAGTGTACTAGATCGGCTTTTAGAGCCAGCCGCCGATGGAAGATCTGCCTGTGGATGCCTGCTGCAAGGAAGTTGAGGATATGCCGCCTCGGTGCGGATGAACAATCTTGGGGTATGCTTTTGTTCGGACTGGATACAAGTACGATCTAGTGGACCATTTTTGGTCTTTAGCCCAGAGAATCGTGAGCTTCGTGGTAGTGGCAGGAAGGTTTTCGAAAACATTGTACATGGGTACGCCATGGTATGAGCCGAGCTGCCGGGCGAAGATGATGTAAGCGATGCTGTGGACAAATCAACCAGTAAATTAGTGCTTACATATTGCCTAACGTAGCGATTTATCCGATGAAGGTTGGTGGGTATTGTCATTTTTGGGTCTAGGTTGTTAGAAGCCAAGATCCAGCTCTGGACTTTGCCTGTGGAAGTTTAGACCAAGGCTCCGTTGACTTCGAGTATCGAGCCATATCGCTGCAGTATGTGCTATACCTATACACCTACTTTTGATCAGGTACTTACTGGCTTCTTTTGGGTCTTAGCCTGTTAGAAATTCGGCAACCATATCTCTCTGTGGAGCTAATTTTGGGACAAGGCTTGAATGCGGGTCGAACTCTTGATTAACGTCTATATAAGAACCTCGCCCATCCCCTCAGCATAAACACTATGATCCCGTTTATCTTCCAAATCGATCCGTTACTTATATCTACACAGCATAATGTCATATACTAAGCCTGTTGTTGTCCTTGTGCCTGGCGCTTTTCATCGCCCATCGAGCTGGAATGCTCTGGCAGAGGGGCTTCGAAAGCAAGGTTACACTGTTCTTACGCCGCCTCTTGCTGTTTGCGGTGAAGCCACGGACGCTAAGCAGCTTGTCGGTACCACAGCCCTTGATGATGTCCGAATCATTCACAGCAATATCTTGCCATTTCTAGATAATGGTAGAGAATGTGTCGTTGTCAGTCACAGCTACGGCAGTGTGCCTGCAGCCCTGGCTGTGGAGGGCCAAACAGTCGAGGAGCGGGCGGCTAAAGGGTTGAGTGGTGGTATAAAAGCGATGGTGACAATAGCAGGATTTTCATATCCAGTTCGGGGGAAAAGCATCATGGGAGATGATTCAGAGCCTCCTATCATGCCCTATCATGTGCTGGAGGTGCGTTTGTTACTGCTGAACCAACAATGACGAGTAGCGTTGAATATTCAAACTGACTACCGGTTATAGGAAGAGGTTCTCCATCTCCAGGAGCCTGCAAAACCCCTCTTTTACAGTGACCTCGACCAGGAAGGACAAGACGCAGCGTGGGAGAACCTGTCCAAAGCCCAGAGCCGTGCGAGCTTTTGCCTTTTTCCCAATTTTATCACATCGGATATCTTGATACCCAAGACCTATATTCTTTGTGAACAAGATAAGGCTGTGGATCCTTCACACCAGGAGGCCTTTGCGCAAATTGGGCAGTATGACAAGATTGTGAGGCTTCCGTCTGGCCACTCTCCTTTCCTTAGCATGCCTGAACGGGTTTTGGAGGTTATTGTGGGTGCTGCGCAGTCGTAACCAGTTAAATTATTGTATGGCAGCCCGTAAATGAACGCACATATCCCGATACAACCATATCCTGAGAGAGAATAACGAAGAGTCTTGATCGTATACTTAGTGAAGCCTGAAATGCTGCCGTTAAAATCAAATGCTGTGGCTGGCTACTGTTTTACAATGGCTGGAAAACTCCACGTCGTATTGCATTTAAACGTTATATATGAGATGGCTAGAGTGATACATTGCTATCAGCCATTTTTGGCGAACCAAGGTAGTGAATCCTTACAACTACTCTTTGATCTAGGTGCCTGCCCTACTAAATTTGTACCAAGTAGAATGAGCGAATGTTTTACTGATTATTATGTTAAATAAAGTATTCAAATGAGTGCGGCAGGCTATCGTGTAAAGTAAGGCAAATTATAGGAATATGTAGTTTCAGATTTATACAAGAGATCCTGCTTACATGGTGGACTAGCATATTTCATTGCTTGGATGGGTAAAGAGTACTGATGTAACATTTATTAGTATTTCTCTAATAACATCAAGGCCGTAATTACCTTGGGTCGGTGGTTTCAAGTTAGTTTGGAAAATGGTGCAATGACCTGAGAATCGCCCACGTCGTGTTCTGACGCTTGTAGAAGCCACCCCTTTTCCAAAACAACGTGATTATTATCAGATCCATTTCATAGCTTAGGTGCTACTAGTAAGTAACGGCACTGTCATCCTCAAGTTTTATGTATTATGGCTTGTACCAAGGATGTCTACCCCCCCAAGAATTTGAATTGAATCGCGTACTTCAAATCTTGGCTTCAAGAAGTCAATTTTCATACTCTGGGGCTGAGATTTTCGATCAACCGGGGATCTCATTGGAATCTCTACGCTAATGTGATTAGTCACTCCGGAGAAGTATGAGAGCACAACACCGCATACTGTCTGGCTCCCGATTCTTCTTTGCATCTATCAATGGTATTCAAGTTTTACATGTTCTCACTGACTACTGGTTTGTACTCTCCAGCCATATGGGCGCGACTCCAGTATGGAAGCTGTCACCCAAGGAACAAATAACCCCCAAAAAAAGCAAAGGCAAGAAGATAATCGTCAATAACAAATGAAGGTAAGGGGAATCCCCTCTAATCCCCTCTCTATTATATAGCATATTTCAAGCATCCTCATAGCTTATAGTCATTTCGACTGTGACGTGAATCTGCATTTTTGACTTGTCCACATTGGCAAGCGTTAAATACCTCCCACGCTCACCCTCCAGATCTTCAGGATTCCAAGCACCGCAGCAGACAATGTAGAGAGTGGGTTTCTCGTCAAATGGATAGTACATCAGCTCTATGACTGTTGGTGAGATGAGGTCCTCGAACATGACTATAGGCGAGCCCTTGCCTGTTTCCGAATCAACGTCTACTCGCCATAGACAGCCCTCAGTGAAGCTAACAACATAACAAGCCGCCCCGTCGTTTCGCACGGCGATTCCGTCGCAGTGTATACACCCCTCGGCGACGGGCTTTGCAGGGCCAGTCACCCGCACGTCTCGCCCGTCCTCGGTATACTCGAACGGGGCGCGGCTCAACACCCCGGTGCTGAAGTTGCCGTACCATAAGTAGCCCGCCGCGACCTGGAGTCGGTTGACTCCAAACGCTTCGTCCTTGGAAGAGGGAGCCATAGAGGGCGGATCGTGAAGGAGCATGCTCACCTCGCCAGTGGAAATGCGCACACGCCAAACGCAATGCTTTACTGGGTCGACGACAGCAATTGCATCTTCGGTTAGGATGGCCATGCCAAACCCGAACAGGGCGTCGGGCAGATCGGCTATTTTACTAATCGTAGGTGCTGTGTCTGTTCCATTGGGACCGAATGAAAGGTGCCAGAGGCGTATCTTCTCGAACTTCCCGCGAGATGTGTCGGAGTGGCCGGTAAGGACGGCATACGCCTCGTCTTCGGTGCCGATCAGCGGGCGGATGTTGTAGGTCGCGTTGCAGTCGGGGAACGTCTGGATGAGCTTGGGGGCCGCGGGCCCATTCTCTTCGTACGCAATGGCGGTTGAGAAGTTGAGATCGACCAAGTACAGCTCCGAGTGCTCGAGCATGGTCGCCAGGGCGTGACCGTTGGGTCTGATGGCGAGGCCCTCAGCCCATCGTTCTGATTTGAGCTGGTCAATCAAAATGATATCATCAAGCGATTGATCGTCAAACTTCCTGCTACGCCCGGCGCCGGGCTTGAAAGAAGACGCCGCCGCCATTTGGGGATGTGTGTCTGTGTGTGCTTGTGGGTAGCGAGTATGATTTCTTCGCTACGGCGGCAGGCAGGCAATGGAGATGTCGTAAACAGCACACGGCTATCTAGGAAGAGGAATGAGCATTTAGGCAGGGCAGAGAGAGAGGATTTCTCTAGGCTGTTCGCCAACGGCACAGTGTCAAACCATATTTCCCCGGCTTCCGGTTAGTCGTTCTCATATCGTTGATATCACCCTTAGCTGGAATGTCAGTTCCGTCTGCCCCCCACACACATCGCTGGAGCGGATCTTGATGCAGGACATTACACAAGGTTGAACTAGCCCTGAGCGGTTAGCAATAAGAGGGGAAGAATGTGATCTGAGTCACCAAGGGCAAGCAGTAAGGGCTGCTGAGGGCCTAACATTGCCGCCTGCGAGATACCACCTGTATTCGTCTTCTTCTGTCTCATGAGACGTCTATCCAGCCGATCTCATAACAATAACCTTCTGCGCAAGAAAATTGTGAGAACACGGTTGAATCAGTTAGAAACCATCTTAGCTTCTAGGTGCTAATACTAGAGGCAATGTCTAGTCTGCTCTAGTTTATCTAGTTTGTCTAGCGTAACGTTATTTATGGTTGCGGCCACTTTTGTTCTCACATAAAGCGACTAGTGAGACAGAACGGCCTAATGATATGCCTTCCAGACAATCTCCCCCACATCTCAGTCGGTTTGCAGCTTAAGAGCGCGAAGTTCCCCGCGATATCTCACCTCCAAGAGACTGATAACAAAACGACCGGAATTCATTGTTTCAATTATCACTTCGCAAATGACCGCAGCAAGATGAATTGCTTCCTCGGCTATAGATACGCGTCAGATGTTGCGATCTTACCAACGGTAATCAGAACCTCCGTATCACCTGATTGTTTCTAGCCGTTTCCCGTGCGACTGGATGCTGTGATGCTTAGGAGCAGTGTCATGCCCACCCCCTTTCTATATCAGAACAACGTCATTTCTTTCAACAGCGCTGAAGAAATCAGACTCGAAAACTTCCCCTGCTCCAACCCGTTCATAAACGTTCTTGCTAGTTTCATTCCGCTTCAGTATGATCACATGATGGCTTTGGAAAACACTGTTATGCGTGCTTCTAGCAGCCTGTAAGCAGAACAGCTGTTCCTCTGTAAAACCTTCTTGGTCAAAGACGACCCAACCGCAAACTTTGTCCTCCGCATCATAAAGCAATCGAGGCTCCAAGCTGCGATGTACCAGCAGTGCGCCTTGCATTGAAACCGAGGCAACTTCCTTAAACTCATGGTTTCTCATTAAAGAGAATGAGCGCGTGACTGGCCGCAGACGAGCCGTGAGGAACAAATGCGGCGACCGTGACCGATTATAACCGGCCCCCTCGTGCTCGGTACTTTTCCATCTATGAATTGTGGATTCCAGGACTACCCGCGAAGACATTAATCTGTGAAGGTGACTCACGGGTCCATCCAAAGCTGCCCAAGACCACGAGGGGGCCCGAACTCGCGGTGGCGTCTGCATTTTGCTGTCTATCGACAGCCAGAGCAATCCTTTATGCATCTCTCTGCACCAAATTCCAGACAGATATTCACTCTCTAGGTAAGGACTGAAATGTGTTGCCAAAGCGGCCACGGCGATAAGTTTGTCATCAGATTTTGCCAGGTGTCTTCCCGAGTATTCCTCCACGAGAATAAACCATGATTCCGGATCTCTCGGGTGGTGCAAGGAAAAGTGCCGCGGCACTACTGTGCTGCCAGTTTTGTCTCGTCGAAGTTCCACGTAATCATCTGCTGACAACATCTCCTGACATTGCCACACGACGCGATCTTCAAAGAAGTACAGGAGACGGGGAGACAGTACATACTCCTGAAGACACCATGCTCTCTTATTCCATGGACTTTCGAGAAAATCATTGGCAATTGAGCCACGGTAATTTGCGAAAGTCACCATTGAGAGATCCCCCGTTGCTGAGATAGTGATGGGCACCTCAACGAAATCCGGAGCGACCCTTGCCGGAAATAGGCAACCTTGATTAGCGGTCCCTGCGGACGCTGCGACAATGGTAACTGCTGCCGAGCGATAGAGCCCTGCCATTTTTTTGGACTCAGCAGCCCAGTCTTCCGTGTCGTCTTGGGTGATACAAAGGCTATCCACCCAGAGATACTCAATATCCAGTAACTTGGTGATCTCAATTGCATCCATTATAGTCTTTGGAAGGCGAGAAAACTCAATTCGGTTGTAGTGCTCTTGTAGGACTGCTGCTGTTGTCTTGACGCCCGTGAAGTTGCCGCCCCAGCAGTAGCTCAACGCAGCATAACGGCTTGAGATATCAGCAGACGAGACCAGACGTATCTGTGGGACTGTGCCGCCCTCACTGATTTTAATGAATCTGGTCGGTAGATCTTCTAAACTGCCCAACGTACCACCGCATTTATGATCAAGGCTGCATGCTGATAACCATTGCTTGTAGAGCTTGAAGTCATAACCCTTGGATAATGGTCTTCCAGTGGCAATTCCGGCATTGGCGGCAGGACTATCTGTCAACTCATATTGGCATTGAATCTCGAGTTAAGAGGATATGGAGCTCATTCACACCTTGGGTGAAAACGCTGATATAACGGCCAACTTGGTGTCCAACACGAAGAAACACTCGAGACATGCCCACCGGGTCGCCTTGCGCATTTGGCGCTTCTGAAAAGAATTTCACCTCACCATTCCGAATACCCTTGAGCCTGATACTGGATATGGCATCCAGGAAGAGTGTGCACAACTTGCATGTCTTTGCGGATGCCCTAAGCCGGGCCACACTTCTGAACAGGGTCAGTCCTTCAGTGGCTTGGCCTTCTCTTACTATTGGGAAATGAAGCCTTTCGCAAGAGTAGCAGAGAGCCATAACAATCAAGGTGTTGTGGTTAACTGTTTAACAGGTTGATGCGTCGGAAACCCCGCACCTCTACCCTGTTACCCTGGTGCGTCATATATTTCACCCGCATATCTTCCTTGAGATATTTGGATAGACAATCTCCACCAGCACATAAGAATCCCCAGGATTGCTAGTCACGAACCCTCTGGCGATTGGATTATAGTAATGGTGAACAACTGCTGGGATAATTTGATCAGGTGTAGTACGCTGCGAATCTAGAAATTCCAGATATGTGTGATCAATACCAAAGAGTCAATTAAGCGCACGGCGTTAATTCTATTTTCATAACCCTCTCAACTTCATATCATATCTTTCTCGAGGATAACCCGGCGTGAAACAATATTAGTCAATTTGCCAACCACCTATTATAAAACCATTCTAGCTCGAACAAGATCAACAGAGTCTAATCATCATAAGCTCTCAAGCAGTTCTAAATCCTCTACAAACGACCAGCCTGGAAGGATATTAGGTTCCCCAACCTGCCCTATATTGCACCACACGCGTCAGTCTCACAACATAGAAGGTATGTCGACTAAAAGGTAATCTTACAGGCTTGGCTCAGCTCGTCCACGACAACATCGTCGCCGTCTAACTCATCGAACCCGTTTGGTTCCCTTTCCGATGGCAGTACCACTTCTGGCAGCACCATTTGTGCCATCGATGGTGAGATTAGATGCATATTCGTCGGCATAACTAGCGTTCCATGCGTCCATTCTGGTAGATCCGTAATATGCGGCGCTTTTCCCCTAGATAGGGCAAAGTCAAGCGCCATCGACAGGCGCAGATAGATCATCGGATTCCCCGAGAATACATCTGACCAGCTGGACGGGGACCAGATCGTCAACCTGATTCCGTTTGTGCCCTCCCCCTCGATCCCAGCTAGCCCGTTCCAGGACGCGAAAAACTGCTGGATTTCTGCATCGGCCACGGGAAGGAGGCTATTTATCGCGATGTTCACACACTCGGTATAGTCGTGTTGATCATCCAGGAGAGCTATAATGTCGTTGTGGCAGCTTCGCTGCCGCTGGTAGTTGGCTTTTTGTGCCAAAGACGAGAGTTTCAGATCAAGAGTTTCCAAGATGACAGGGAGCGCTGAGCACGGTGGCCTATCATAGCAATTAGCTTCAAGGCAATTGACCGTGTAGTTAGAGAAAGGAATGTTGGTGGTTTGAAGGAATAAGATCTTACGCGCTAATTGGAAGACGCCGTACCAGACCCTCATCAGTCAAGCCTTTGAATCTGTCTGTCACGTTCGCGATGGCTAATTGCAGGTCGCTTTTGAGCTGGCTAAAGCGAAACTCATAGTCTTCAAGTTGAGACTGATGCTTTTGAAGTACCAGTGCTAAATGGTTGTAGAGGGCAACTTGGGTCGAGCTTGGAGATTCGGTTAATGCAAGTGGCTGGTTGTGTTTCCAAGGGTGCTTCACATACTAGTAGTGGATCAAGGTCATATCTGCAAATACTGCTGCAGATGATTCCAGTGCTCTTCGTCGTTGATCTGGACGTATACAATCCGTGAGATTCGTCTTGAACCTGCGAGCCCAGACCGCCAGTTCCGTATTCCCTCGTTCAATTTCCACCATAGACGTGACCAATTGAGACACTGTGGACGGTAGGCTCTGAGATGAGAAATCTCCTGTTGGATAAACCACTGTCATGGTCCACGTCATCGCCACAGCCAGCGCACACTGGGCAACGATTATTCTCACCAGGAGACTTTTCATCTCGGAACTGTAAACCTCGGATGTCTCAATCTCTTCCGCCAAGTCGGCTTCTTCCAGGCCTGGATTTGTGAAATCGAATCTATCGGGGGTGACTTGGATGCTACGGCGCACGCCGACAGCAATCATCCTGTCACGAAGGATACAGCACCACCAGAGCCGCTTGTTTTCGAGAATGCGCTCGGCATCCATAGGAGCTCGACTGAAGTACTTATTAGCACCAGCATCCTCGGCATGAGATATTGCTTTCGAGAGCCACATTGAATTTAAGCTCGGTTCGAATAAGGTGGCCTGAAGAGAGAGGAGCAAGCAAGTCTGCGCCAGCACAAAACTGTCCCGTTCCAAGTTATGGGCCAAGAGTAACTGTGGCAGTTGTTTAGATTGCGGACATGTAGTTGGATGCCAATACAGGTCTTACCTCTGCGCGGTGATAGAAAGCGTTTCTGGCACTTCTGAGGTCTTCGAACCCGCAAGCGTTTATCATTTTGATCGGGACAAACTTAAACGTGTCAGCTATATCCTGTTTAAACATCCATCAAGTCGCCTCACCCTCGTTGCGGCAAAGAGCATTGACTGGAAAAGAGCCAGAGAGAAGAAACTGGTCTTGCGCTGGCCATCGCCGGTCCTGGAATAGATGGACCAAAACGTCCTTTCATTTACCAAAGGGAGGCAGGGGTGAACGTATAGGAAGTATTGACGAACAAACTCATCGAGAACTGATTGGCTTGGGACCCGAAAGCAACCCTCGAGTTCAAGATTGTGTATCTGCGAAGGTGACAGATGCTGCAAGTCTGCCACTTGAAGATACTTGTGATAATAGAATGGAACAAAAACGTTTGTTGAAGGTTGGTTGCCTACTCAGAAATACCCAGAACTAGCATCAGTAAAAGGAATCATCGTTCACTACTATTTGATCGACTTATCGAGATCAATAGTTTTGGCACTTTCACAGTTTGCCTATTTGCAAGCAATGATCGAGAGTCACCCACCGTTACTCAGGCCTTCTGCTAGGACTATCCTAGCAGGTGTTGTTGATGGTTCCCCATGGTGGGCAAATTCTCCCGCCTCATGTTGGATTTGAGCTTGCGAGCCATCAGTGCACGCATCTTTTCTGGTTATTACCGGTAAAGTTTCTTCACGAACACGTTGATCTGATATTCTTTTCCTTCCTCTAGCAAATGATTATCATGTTAGCAACAAGACAAGACCATTTCCAACGAGGCTGATTTTTCATAAATACGAAGCCTACCTCTTCAACTGCGCTCGTATTCTGCACGGCCGACTATCCAGGCGACAGTTTGTGCAGGGGTCTCCAAAAAATCCAACGTCGCATCGCACTTTGCGTTGGTGACAAGATTCACAGCAGGCTCTCTTCTGACGAGAGGCCGCATTAGAGGAAGCTCGCACAGGGGGGTGGGCATACATCGCCCATGGGGTCGATGTCAGCTATAAATAATATGGGTAGATAAGAAAGAAACTCTTGTCACGGAAAGACACGCGATGCCATGGTTCAAAAAGCTGAATACCGCCAACGGACAGCTCCATTGTAGGAAATCCCGCGTGGAAGTCTCCACGCTTCAATTGAATTTATGGGGAATCATCATTAAGGTCACGAGATCTGGTGGATCTGGGGTGCAAGATTTGCCCCAGGCCGTACAGCCAATGGGAAGCTCTATGTCTTGGATAACCCCTCATTTCTTCGTTGGAGAAGACAATCTTATTCCTGGAACATGAATAATCTACAACCGGCTCCAAAACTTGGCCGCCTCCTCTTTCAACAAATACTCTGGTCCAATATCAGAGACCTTTGTAACCCCACAAAGACCCATACAGAGGCGAAACTGATCTGTCAACAGGCGAAGGCAAAGCTCGACTCCGGCTTCGCCTCCATATCCCAAACCCCACAGCACAGGGCGGCCGACCCAGCAGAAATCAGCCCCAAGGGCCAGTGCCTTGAACACATCCGTTCCATGTCGTATGCCGCCGTCAACGTGGACGGGGATGCGATGATCCACAACTTTGACAATCTCGGGAAGCGCATCGAGGGTAGCCACGGTTCCATCAAGTTGACGCCCGCCATGGTTTGAGACGATGATCCCGTCAACGTGGTTGGAAACAGCTAGTAAGGCATCCTCAGCCGTTACGATGCCCTTTACCCACACTTGCATTGGCGAAGCTTCCTTTTTCAGCCAGGGAATAGCTTCCTCCCACGTCAGAGTTGGGTTTGGTCCGTGACTGTGGAAAGTAACTGGTCCAGCTGGGAGAACGCGACGCTCTCCATCGTGGTAACCAGGCGCGCTCTCTTTCAAGCTACCCGCTGAGGGTGGAGTGCCTGTGGCCCCAGACTCGCTGGCAAAGTTGGCAGCGTTGAGGTGACGGGGCAGTCGGAATTGGTTCCTGATCTCGAGATTCCTCCTGCCTAGCAGAGGGGTGTCAACGGTAAGCACAATAGCTTTGTATCCAGCTTCCTTTGCCCGCTGGATCATCTTAATGCTATGCGACCTTTCCTCAAAGAGATACAGTTGCAGCACATTGGGAACGCTTCCACTCGCGGACCCCACGTCCTCCAAGGTAGTAGTCGAAAAGGAGCTGAGGCCCAAGGCTACACCTTTCGTACGGCAAGCTCGTGCCGTGGCCAACTCTCCGTCCTGGTGGGCAAGCTTCTGCATGGCAGCGGGCGCAACACCAAAGGGGACGCTGGTTCGAGTTCCGAACACGTCAACCCCGCTGTCTACATTGGATACATTTCTGAGTACTCTTGGACGGAGGCGATATTTCTGGTATGCGGACATGTTTTCCTTTACTGTGATGCCATTGTCAGCGCCCTCATTGTAGTAGTCGCGAGTCTGCTTGTCTAGCCGCTGTGTAGCTAGAGCTTCCAGCTCAGCTATGGTGAGGCAGTTCAGGTCGTGCGCCATCGCAAATCCAGGTCGAGCTTTTTGCCAGAACAAGTCTCAATGTCTCCCGAAAGAAGGTTTTTTGTGGGCAGATTATATCTTCGATGAAGCCTGTGTCTGGGATGAGTAGATTATTTGGCGTTGATTCGCGTAGAAAACCTGGAGGCAGCACAGTGTACTTATAACCCCATTGCATTCGAAAGACCAGACCATAACCCCCGCAGATCTGGTACGGTGAAAGCATCCCTTTACCCTCAAGGAGTACCTGAATTGCAATTGTATTTGGTAATCGCCGTAAGTATCACAAACTAGCCTTTCCCCCCTCGGAATCCTGGACCAGCGTGAACCAGCA